TTCTAGCTCTCTGTGATTTTCTTTAAGTCTCTTGGAGAGAAAGAAGAGGGGTTCAACCATGGAACTCAGCTCTGTATGACCAAAGGTGGCCCCAGCTGCTGAAATATTTGCTGAACTCAGTGCTGAAGGATATCTGTTCTTCCCGGAGCCTGTGTCACTCTGACTGGCATCTTGGCTTGATAAAGGTGACCAGATACAGTTTGGAGCATCACGCTTGCTGGTATATGAATGGGATAACCAATACTAGAAGGAAAAGCAAAATTTGCCTTTTTTGAGGTTCCCAGTTCCGCTGTCAAAACTTGGAATAATTCTACGAGCAAGAGTAACTGTTGATGTTTGCAATGTTTGGTGCAAGCTCTGTGGTAACTGAAGGGTGGTGAAGGGATGTTATTTCTTTTTTTTTTCTTTTTTCTTTCACCTTTCTTTTTTTTTTTTTAGTTTTTCCCTTTTTTATTATATTTTATTAATTTTAATGAACATTTACAGAGATTTGGGGATTTCATTCATTCATTGTTGCACTATTTTCTCTACCCTCCTCCCCAGTTCATTCTTCTTTTTTTCCCCCCTTGAAAGTCTGTTTTAATTGTCCAATCACCACAGTGCTTGTCAAAGCCTGTTCGAATTAATCTCCTTTGTCAGTGTGTTAGGGATGTTATTTCTAAAGAACTCTTCTGTTGCTTTAGACTGTAGAACCTTGGTATCTCAGGGAGCTCTGGTGGCCTAGTGGCAAGAAGCTGCACTACAATCCCAGAGGTGAGCGTTTCGAATCCACCAGATGCTTTGCTGGAGAAGGAGGGACAATCTCCTCCTGTACCAGTCAGATCCGATTTGACGGTACACACACACACACACACACACACACAACCTAAGAAAAATTAAAAAAAGACAAAACAAAAATACAAAAAATCCCTCCCCCCTTGGTATCTCAGAGCTGCTTCAAGTCTTTTAAGACTTTTTCCTCCAAGAGATTCCGGACTCCTTCAACTACATCTTCAATTACAGATCTGTAAAGGCTTGGGACATGCCACAGCAGTAGTTTCAGCATCTCTGACATTGAGTAATTTAATACACAGGCACCAAAGACAGGTATTCCAAGCGAAAAAAAGAGAAATTGAACATCATCAAAATTTAACATTTTTGCATAATGGGCACTATCAGGAAAAGAAACAAAACAAGAGAAAGGAAACCACCCAAAGAACGGTGGAAAATGTTTGCAAAGCACTTATCTGATGATCTAAAAGATTCAAAGAACACCTACAGTTTATCAATAAAAGACAATCCAGCGAGCAAAGGCAGTGTCTTTCTTGCCTTTAGAAGCTTTAGAACCGTGACAGCCAGGACGAGAGAAGCAGCGAAGCAGCGAATGCACGAGCCGAGATACAAAAAAAGAAGTGAGACGCAGACGTTCAAACAAATCTCTATCTTGTGTAACCACGGAGACCACAGCAGCAAGAACATGGGATGCCAGAGGCCATGGACACTACTGCCAATTTTTAACTGCATGCTACTGTCCAGAACATTTCTCACGATGGACCTAGAGCTTCCCTCACCATTTGATTACTAAGAACCCCTCTGAGATCGCAGCCTTGCTCATCATACCAGATCAAGTGGTGCTTTGATCCCTTGCTCTGGACCTCTGACATTTTGGACTAGTTTTGGTCTTAGCCTGAGTCTGACGTGTGCAAAATAACCTAAACACTGTCTTAAAAACATATATCCCAGTCACAAAAGGACAAATATTACATGATGCCACTGTTGTAGAATGGGACTGTCCTTGGGGTTGGGGAGAGACTGAGTAAGATGGGTTCAATAATGCACTGAAACAGAGGAGGGAGAAAACTGTTTAAAAGAGATATATAACTAGGTATTTCTGTCATCACAGGAGTCTAGAGCGAGGGCTACATGGTGGAGGGGACCTGGGGGAGGGTTTGTAAAACAATGAAAGAATCTTTTATTTTACTTTTCCATAATTTTTGACTCGTGTACTTATAACTTGTTAGTCAAATTTGTGTCTTCTAGGTTGCAACACCCCCATGATACATCTTCAAGGATATGAACATGTACGGCCAAGCACAATCAATAAGAGTGCATCTAAATTCCAAAATCAATCTCCATAATAGTCTATGTGTTTCCTACTGCCAAAGGGGCCCTTTAGAGTAGTGAGAGAAGATCTTCACCCTGAAACCCACAGCGTCCCTTTTCAGCAGGAAGTAGCTAAGAGAATACGCCATCCCCTTTTCCTTATGACTCAGGGTGAAGTCTCTCTCAGGGAGGAGTGATAGGGAATGGCAAAGGACACACTGACAAAGAAGATTAATCAGAACTGGCTTTGACAAGAACTGTGGCATTTGGACAAGAACAAACTGGGAGGAGGGTAGAGAGAATAGTGCAACAATGAATGAATGGAAACCCAAAATCTCTGTAAATGTTTATGAAAATTAATAAAATATAATTATAGAAAAAAATAAAATATTGAGGAGTAATGATATAAAAAAAACATAGGTGAGTGCATTTCTATGCACATTTCCCCATGTAGATCTAGAAATGACAAATAAATAAGCCAGTGTCTAGTGTCAGGAAAGGGAGAAGCACTTCTAACCCAAGGGGCCACCCCTCTGATGACCCATGCAATTTATACCATCAGAAACTCAAGAGAGTCAGCTGTGAGTCTCATCTCAAAGGTAATGACAGTTTCAAATAACAGGACAAGGTCTGACCAGAGAGACCTTAGCACCTTGGAGCTAAGAAGAGCCCTGGGACCGGCTTTACTAATAACACGTTGAGTTATTATGTAGCATCGAACAGGAACCTACTCATGTGGAGCAGCTGGTGGATTCAAACTGCGTACCTTGGGATTCACAGAGCCACTCCTTACCACGAAGCCCCCAGAGCCCCCAATGTACTGAGAGCCCCCCAATGTATTGAGAGCCCCCCAATGTACTGAGAGCCCTCCCAAAAGGAGACCTTCTCTCTGGCTTCATTTGTGTCCTTTGACCTTATAAAGACGTCAGATCTTAGTAGGAGCCAAGGTCACATCTGCATCTCCTCTCTCCCACCTTCTCACTCCTCTACCAGCGAATTGTCACCTTCCACACACTTTCCATCCCTCCCAGGCCTCTGTCCCTCTTCCTCAAGTTCTCTGTCTCTTCTCCAGGTTTCTGTCCTTGCTCTTCCTGAGATTCTGTCTCTCTCCATCTCTGGGATTCTTTCTTCTTTTCCCACTCTGAGTCTCTGTCTGCCTCTCTAAGAGTCTCTGTCCCCTCAGAGTTCACCTCTTTATCTGTCTATCCCTCTTTTTCACTTATTTCCTCTAATTTGCTGGTCCTCTGTCTTCCCTCTGTCTGGACCTCTGTCTCCTCTATCTGGACCTCTGTCTCCCCTCTGTCTGGACCTCTGTCTCCCCTCTGTCTGGACCTCTGTCTGGACCTCCGTCTCCCCTCTGTCTGGATCTCCGTCTCCCCTCTGTCTGGGCCTCTGTCTCCCCTCTGTCTGGACCTCTGTCTCCCCTCTGTCTGGACCTCTGTCTCCCCTCTTTCTGGACCTCTGTCTCCCCTCTGTCTGGACCTCCGTCTCCCCTCTGTCTGGACCTGTCTCCTCTTTCTCTGGACCTCTGTCTCCCTTTTCTCTGATCATCTGTCTCCCCTTTCTCTGGCCTTCTGTCTCCCCTCTGTCTGGACCTTAGCCCCCTGTCTGAGTTTGAGTCCTTTCTCTCCATCTAGCCTCTCTCGGTGTTGTCTCAGCACCTCTCTGTGGGCCTTTGTCCACTTTTCTGTGGGTTTCTGCCTGACTCCAGGTCTCCCTTGTGCAGAGCTGGTTTTGAGGGCAGCATCTGGCCTGACATCCTGCTCATGCCCTAAGGGCTTGGCTCTCATTACTTGTCCCTTCTCAGTCAGGAAAGGAACTGGAAGCTGCCTGGGGACGTTTCCTCCCCCACAGCCCCTGAAGCTAGCTGGAGGCTCTCCGCTGCCCAGAGCTCTTTCTCCGCATCACGATCTGCTGGAGATGAGATCAGAAATAGCTCTGGTGGGCGGCTGATTCTAGCACGTGGGACAAGAGACACACATACTAGGAAACACGGGTGGGGCTTTTCTGATAGGAGCAGGGACTTGTTTTGGCGAGTGGGACTTTTTTGGCAGGGGTAGGTGTGGGGATGTCTTTCTGGTGGGTGAGACTTTGCTGACAGGAGCGGGGCTTGTTATGTTAGGGCCCTGACTTGTCCTAATGGGTGGGACTTGTTGAACAGGGGTAGGAGGGGCGGAGCTTATTCTGTGGATGAGGCTAGTTTGAAGGGGCGGAGCTTATTATGTGCATGGGGCTTATTCGGATGGAGCAGGGCTTATCCTGGTGGGTGGGACTTGTTGGTGAGGGGTAGGTCTTGATATGTGGGTGGAGCTTGTTTCATAGGGGCGGGACTTGTTCTGATGGGGCAGAGTTTGTTCTGTGGGTGGAACTTGTTTGACAGGGGAGGGGCTTATTCTGTGGATGAGATCAGATTGACGGGGCGGGGCTTGTTCTGAAAGGGTTTATTCTGTGGATGGGGCTTGTTCTGATGAGGCAGGGGAGTACCCTGGTGGGTGGGACTTGTTGAACAGGGGTAGAGCTTGTTCTGTGGGTGGGACTTGTTCTGACAGGGGCGGGACTTGTTCTGATGGATGGGGCTCATTCTGATGGGGCAGGGCTTGTTCTGTGGATAGGACTTGTTAGACAGGGGTGGGACTTGTTCAGGTAGGGACATGGCTTGTTCTGGGCGCTATAGAGGTTCTAGTAGTACAGTAGTTTAAAAAACCCAGCTGCCAACCAAAACACTGGTGGTTTAAACTCACCAGCCACTCCCAGAAACCTAATGAGGAAGTTCTACTTAGTTCTCTAAGGTCACCAAGAGTCCCTCTCCATACTTCTTAATCCAAATCAAGAAGAAAGACCCTCTCTGCCCCTCAATATTTGCTACCACCAAAGGGAAGACCTTGCCTTTCCCAGCCAGGGAAGGAAGGGAGCCTCACCAGTATCTCCGTAATGTCAGGGTCATCAGAAGCCCAGGGTGGAGTGGGGGAGGGAGGAGGCCCTGGCAGTGCTGGAGGGCCACTGCTGTCTTCCGTGGTGGAGTCTGTTCCCGAGGAGTCCGTGGTCTCCGTGGCAGCGAGGTTGAGCAGGGACACATTGGTGCAGGCTGAGGATCGTTTGAGGTTCAGGCACCAGTGCATGGGCTCATGGGACATCCGGGGCTCCACCCTGCGGAGCAGACACAGTGGAAGGTGAAGAAGGTTCAGGCCAGTCCAGGGCACCCCTGCCTCCTTGTCTCTACATCACCTGCTGCTTCTGCCTTCAGCCTCACTACCCTATCACTATTTCTTCTTCTCGTTGCCCACTGACTGCTTTCTTCCTCCTTCTCTTTCCCCAAGCCCATTTTCTTCCCTCTCTATCCTGCTGCCTGCTTTCTCTTTCTCCCGCTGCCTGCTTTCTCTTTTCTCTACTGCCTGCTTTCTCTTCCCTCCTCCTGCTTTCTCTTTTCTCCCACTGCCTGCTTTCTCTTCCCCCACCCCGCTGCCTGTTTTCTCTTTCCCCTGCTGCCTGCTTTCTTCTTTTTCCCTTCTCTCTGCCTACGTTCTGCTCCTTACCCACTGCCCACTTTTTCTTCCGTCTCTATTTCCATCTCCTTCTCTTGATTTTCTCTTCCCTTCCTGCCCTACTCCTTGAGTCCTCTCTATCCCTCCTGTGCCCCCTCCCCTTCCTCCAGCCCCCACTATGTGGTTCCTGCTCTGATGGGACCACGCTGGACACTAGGACCTCCCCTGACAGGGAGCAGCACACCCACCCGTGGAACGACACGGCCTTCTTTTTCTTGATCGCCTTGGCTGAGCTGATCACCCCCCCGGGGGCCTCTGGGATCAGCTGGGAGCGGCTTTCCATCCCCGCAGGGGGATCTCCGGCCTCGTGGATCTCTTTGGACTGCCAGATTGTCTTCACCACCACGCTGGCCATGGCGTGTGGGGGGGTCCTGCTCCCAGGGGCTGCTTCCTCTGAGACTCACCATCTATTCTGACCACAGACTCTCAGAGTTCCCTATGCCCCCCACCCCACCCCGGCACAGCCTGCCTCACAAAGGACTCAACCACTAGGTGCTACAAGTTGGGGGGGGGGGAGGCAGTAGTAGGGAGTGGCCAGAACTCAACGTATCCCCGGTACCCCGAGAGGAACATCAGTGAATTTCGCCAAAGTCTCCAGTTCTAGGTGGATGTATCCCTCCGCTTCAAAAGTCCACAGAAGGCAGCTCTGGCGGTCTCGTGGCTACGGAGTTGCGCTGCCATCCCAAAGGAACGCTGTTTGAACCCCCCAATTGCTCCAAGGGACGTCCATGGGCCATCTCCTCCTGTGAGATTTACTATCTCTGAAAATTCACTGGAGAGTCCTCTTTGAATCACTTCTGTCTCAAGGGCACACAGTAACAACAACATGCCCGCTAGTGGATCCATCTGGGAGCTGCCCTGTCTGTCCATCAGAGTGCTAGAACAGAAGCGCACTCGGTTTATTAATTTTCTCCTAGAATTTAGAATGGATACTGGTTGGAGAGGGTCAAGCAACCTTTTTCCCAAGAATAACCCTGGAATCAACCAGCTTCCTTGTTATAAATCAAATTATGTCCTAAAATATCTGGTGTAAACTCTATGAAAAACATTGCTTTCAGTTTTGTGGGGTTTTTTTAAATATTATTTACTTTTGAGTGAAAGTTCACAAATCACACTAGCTTTTTAAACAATTCCATCATTCATACACATTTTGCTTCAAAATATTAATTATAATTAATTGATATAATCAATGAATTACAATGTGCTGTGGTGCTGGAGAAGAGTATTGAATATATCATGGACTGCTAGGAGAACAAACAGGTTCATCTTGGAGAGAGTGAGACCGGGTTGCTTCTTGGAGGCAAAAATTCTGAAGCTTCGTCTGACTGACATATTTTGGACATGTTGCAAGAAGGGACCTGTCCTTGGAGAGGGACGTCATGCTTGGGAGGGTGGAGGGACAGCGCAGGAGAGGAAGACCCTGGATGTGATGGATTGATTCAGTGACTGGGGTAATGGGAACAGGGTGTCAGAAACAGTAAGACTGGCACAAGATAGAGCAGGGTTTAGGGCTGTTATATATAGTCATGAATCACAGGCAATTTAATGGTACATAACAACAACAACAACAATCAACCCCTTAGGAGGTCCACTGGTGGCGTTGAGCAGAGGGAGGTATGTGGATAACCCAAAGGTGACAGTTCTCTGGTGGTTCAAGTCCATCAGCTGCTCCCACCTCAACAATTTACAGCCTTGGGGAGCTCTGGTGGCCTAGTGGCAAGGAGCTGCAACTACAATCCCAGAGGTGAACGGTTCGAATCCACCAGATGCTCTGCCGGGGAAGGAGGGACAATCTCCTCCTGTACCAGTCAGATCTGATTTGACGGTACACGCACACAAAAATAATAAAATAATTTTTTTAAAAAAACAAACAATTTACAACCTCAGAAACTCACTAGAGGTCTACTACGCATTGGGTCTTATTTGGCCGTGAGTTGAGAGATCAATCCCTTATTGTATACATTGCCTCTTCCTTCATCTTCATCCAGCCTATTAATTTTCACTCCTCTCTCCCTTTCTTCCTAGATGTCTAAACCTTTCCTTGTTGTTGTTATGTGCCGTCGAGTCGTTTCCGACTCATAGCGACCCTATGCACAACAGCCCTAAACCCTGCTCTGTGCCTCTGACACACCCATCCCTATTACCCCAGTCACCGAATCAATCCATCTCAAGGAGGGTCTTCCCCTCCTGCGTTGTCCCTCAACCCTCCCAAGCATGATGTCCCTCTCCAAGGACTCGTCCCTCCTGGCAACATGTCCAAAGTATGTCAGACGAAGCCCCCGAATCCTTGCCTCCAAGGAGTAGCTTGGTTTAATCCTCTCCAAGATGAATCTGTTTGTTTTCCTGGCAGTCCACGGTACATTCAGTACTTTTCTCCAGCACCACAGCTCAAAAGCATCCACTCTCCTTCTGTCCTCCCTAGTCATTGTCCAACTCTTAGCTTTTTTAAAAATTGTTTTAAAGAAATTTATTTTATTTTCTTATGTGTGTGTGTGTGTGTGTGTGTGTGTGTGTGTGTGTGATCAATTCGGATCTGACTGGTACAGGAGGAGATTTGCCCCTTCTTCTCCAGCAGAGCATCTGGTGGATTCGAACCTCATACCTCTGGGATTGCAGTGCCACTTCTTGCCACTAGGCCACCAGAGCTCCCTTCCTTAGCTTTTTATAATGGTGATCTTGTATCATAATGATCCTTCTGTGACTGACTTGTCAGTCAGCATAATTTCCCCTTATTTCATCCCTATCGTGCAGTGTTTCACAAGTTCCTGATTGTTTGTTTAGTGATGCATAATACTCCATTGTGTGAATGTGCCATGGGATTTTTTTAGCCATTCATCTGTTGACGGATGCTCGGGTTGTTTCCATCTCTTTGTTGTTGTAAATAGTGCTGCAGTGACCATGGCTGTTCATGACCCAGATCTTATTTCTTAAGGATTATACCTAGGAGTGCAATTTCTAGGGATCTTTGGTGGCTTCGTGGTAAGGAGTTGCACTGCCAACCTAAAGGCCAGCAGTTTGGATCCACCAGCTATTGCCCAGGAAGGAGATGGGCACATTTCTGTTGTGTCATTTACAGCCTCCAAAAATGGCTAAAATATTAGCTATGGGTTGGTTTCAAATCAATGGCACATAACAGCAGCAACAGTGCAATTTCTGACTCAAATAGTATTTCTATCCCAACTTTCTTTCTTTTTTTATTTTCTATTTTATTGTTTTTGTGTGTGTGTGCCGTCAAATCAGATCTGACTGGTACAGGAGGAGATTGCCCCTCCTTTCCCGGAAGAGCATCTGGTGGATTCGAACCGTGAACCTCTGGGATTGTAGTTGCAGCTTCTTGCCACTAGGCCACCAGAGCTCCCCACTCAACTTTCTGAAAAAATGTCAAACTCCTTATAATAACGGTGACTGCATTTTATATTCCAGCCACCTCTGGATAAGAGTTCCAATCTCGGGGAGCTCTGGTGGCCTAGTGGCAAGAAGCTGCACTGCAATCCCAGAGGAGCAGGGTTCGAATCCACCAGATGCTCTTCCGGGAAAGGAGGGACAATCTCCTCCTGTACCAGTCAGATCTGATTTGACGGTACACGCACACACACAAATAATAAAATTTTAAAAAAATTAAAAAGAGTTCCAATCTCTCCACACCCTTGTCAACATTAGTACTTTGCTGTCTTATTGAACAAAGCTATTGTTCCTGGTGGAAAATGATAGTCTATTGTTTTGATTTGCATCTCTCTAACAGAAACCCTATGACCCTGGAGAAAGGATGAAAGTCACATAAGTGTTGAGGACTTTCATTCATAGGGTCGCTATGAGTCGCCTACGACTTGATGGCACTTAACAACAATAACACTAACATAGAAATCAGCTAGCCTACTGGAGAGAAAGTGATGCTACCAAGCCGAAAGTAGGTAACTTCTAACCCTTGGACCTCAGGCCTGTTTTTCATTGTTTTTGTTCAAACATTCTTCTAGGTCACATAGCCCTGGTGTGTCCACCTGCTGTACAGAGGTAACCTGTGGTTGCTGTGAAAGTGAACACTGTGACACTGATGTGTCACATGCCTTAATGGTTCCCTATAGCGGACGGTGTTTGGTGGCAATCCCAGATTAAAACAAGCTTGGAAGCAGGAGTGGCATCGATTTCCATAAATGGCTTGCCTCTGGAAACCCTATGAACTTGGAGAGAGGATGAAAGTCACACAGGTGGGGGAGCTCTGGTGGCCTAGTGGCAAGAAGCTGCACTGCAATCCCAGAGGCGCATGGTTCAAATCCACCAGATGCTCTGCCGAGGAAGGAGGGACAATCTCCTCCTGTACCAGTCAGATCTGATTTGACGGTACACACACATAAAAATAAAAAAAAAAGTCACAAAAGTGTTGAGGACTTTCCTTCATAGGGTTGCTATGAGTTGCCTACGACCCAACGGCACTTAACAACAGCTAATTTAAGGAATTCTGCTATCTTAGTGGATAGGAGTTTGCACGAACAATCCAAAGGCAGGAAGTTTGCTTCTGCCAGTTGCTCCATGGGGAAAAAAAGGGGCAATCTCTTCTGTGATTGACAGCCTCTGAAAACCCCTTGGAGGGCTGGCTAAAAGTCAATTGTGCACACAACAACAACAACATTAGCTAATGATCTTGAGAATGATCTTCATGTGTTTGTTGACCGTCTGAATGTCTTCTTCGGTGAAGTGTCCTGTCAAGTACGCTGCGCGTTCTGTAACTGGATCATTTCATTTTCTTCTTGGTGAGGTGTTGGGATGGAGCTTTCTGTACATTTTGGAGATGTGTCATTGCCAAATATTTCCTCCCACTCAGTAAGTCCTCCTTTAACTCTTTTGGAGACAAAGATCTCACTTTTAGGAAGCCCTCAATCATCTAGTATATCTTCTGCTAAATGTGTATTTTCAGTTCTATTTGATAGTCTGTTTATGCTATAGATTATTGCTGTGTTGCTTTGAATTGGAATGGACCCATCACTGACCATCCAGTGAGTTTTCAGAGGCAGTAAATTGCATGGGAGGAAATTGCTCACCTTTCTCCTGCAAAGCCACTGGAAGATTCGAGCATCCTCTCTCTGTATCTTTTTAATCTTTATGTGGAACAGTTTGTTCTGTGAAGAGGAATGTGGCATCAAGATTGGAGGAAGACTCATCAACAACCTGTGTTATGCCGATGACACAACCTTCCTTGCTGAAACTGAGGAGGACCTGAGGCATTTGCTGCAGAAGGTCAAGGACTGCAGCCATCAATACAGATTGAAGCTCAACATAAAGAAAATAAAGATTCCCTCACACTGGATCAATTGGCAGCATCATGATAGATGGCGAAGAGATTGAGATTGTTAACAGCTT